AAATGCAGGGTGCAGAGGAAATGGGGAAATGCCTACACTTGCTTGATTTGCAATTACTGTGGGCTTAGCTGAACTCTCAGATGATTTCCAGGAGGAGAACTGTGCAACTATAAGCAGGGAGGGACCTGTAGATGTGTATATGTATGTAAATGTTAAAAATAGAGTTTTAAATTATTATCTATAATACGAGCTACAGCTAGTGGAATGAGAGGGAAGATCCTGTTTTGCTTATTCATGTTGTCCTTGGTGTATCTCACTGCCAGTCGTGGTGCTTGGTTTGCTTTAGTAGGGAACAGATTTCAGTGTGCTACATCTCATCTATAGCCAGAGCATGTGGTTATGACCGGCAACTCAACCTAGTTTGGTTTGAACCGGTAAGGCAGAGGTTCTTAATTACTCAGTTTTGCATGGAAGTTAATTCAGTACTGTTGGGTTTCTTGATTGTTTGTTTTGTTTTGTGTTTTTAAAGACAGGTCATAAGACTACTGCAGAAAAATGTCTTTATTTCCCTTGTTTGATAATCTCGCTGCAATGGTCAGACTATGTGACTAGGAGTGGAAAGGGTCTTTGCGTAGCATAGGAACGGTTTATTTCCCTGTGGGACAGCAGACCTTTGCTTTGACTGATGTTCCCATTGTAGCTCTGCTCCAAGCACTCATCTGCAATCTCTGCTCGGAAGGATCAGTTCTCCTCCTTTGGCCACTATTTCCTGCAGTTAAGGCTCTCTAGCTGGTGTTTTCTGCCTGTGGGGAGCCATGAAGTCGTATGACTTGTGGAAGGAGCAAAGATAATAACAAGCACCCATCTGTTCTTCTTTTCCATCCTTTCGGGATGTCCGGGTGTCCCCTGGTTAGAATTCTTCTTCAGATAAGATAGTGGAGGTGTCACTGTGGGGCAGTCAGGCCAGAAAACAATAGCAGGTTGAGTCCAAAAAACAAGATTGATCAGCAAGTACATCTCTGTTGCCAATAAGGGGCAGAGCTGCTCTGTAGGGGTCAAGGCTGGAGCTATACCCCACATCCCTTCAGCTTCTTCCTCTGATAAACTTCCAGGAGAGCTATCACACTTGCTCTTCAGAAAGCTTGGGGTCAGAAGCTCCACCGAGGAGAAGGCTGCAAGAGCCATAGTGTGTGCAAGGGCTTTCAAGCCTCTGTTACTTGAGTGGTAACTGTTCCTTGGCTGAGTGGGATGTTCCAGTACTTGTTCTTCTGTATCTGCTTTGTCATCCAGTTGCAGCTAGTGTCTTTGATGGGTGAGTAAAGAGGCATTGCCTTCACGTTTATTTCTGTTTGCCGTCTTTAAGGTTCGTGCTGAGCCTTGGTATTCCTAGGTGAAAGACTGGAAGATGTGAGAAATATCCTTTTTATTTGAAGGTGGTGTGAAATTCTTTCAATTTGAAAGATCTTTCTGTCACCAAGTGTGAAGGTTCCCATATTGGGAGAATCTCTACTACCAAGACACTGTGGGATTTTCCTCTCCCTCGGAGGAGAGACTCTATGAGTAGATCTTATGCTACTTTTTCACCTGCTTCTTTGACAAATCTTAACTGAATTTAGTGTCATAATGCAGTGCTGCTCATTTCGTTGCTTAGCTGTGCCAGAGCAGAGATCTCCAGTTACACAATACACACAGGATTAATCTCTCTGCAGAATGGTGGGCTTATGAATGCTTGCTAAAGCCTGATTTGTCATCCAATATATATGCTAGTATGTCAGCTGGAGAACTAATGATATCATCAAGATTACAAATTGACAAGCTTTACTTCATAGCTAATGCTTGTCAGGCTGAATTGCTCAGGCCATGCAAGAAGTGTGTTGGGGAGGAGAAAAATTGAGCCAAGAAAAGTGAAAAACAGAGGGAGCGGGAGACAGTGATTTGTCTTGTGCAAAAGCCCCATGCTTTTGTTGTTTGGGGAGAAGAGATGAGAGGTTGATTGGTTGCTTCTATACTTTTGTGGAGTTTTTTCTTAAAAACTCAAACTAGTTTTCAGTAAACCGTGCTGCCAAAGGCTGCTTGGTGTCTGCAGGGAGGTTGGCTTGGGGCAGCTCTGGCAGTCTGAGGGTGGCGTGAGGGTCTGCAGTGATTGAAAGAGCACTGTCTGCTTTTTCTGTTTGTCTGCCTCCCCCCTCTACTTCTGCCTGAAGCTGTCAAAGAAATGGAAGATGGGAGGGTGTGCTACCCCATTCCCCTGAAATGCCTTCTTCCAGCTCCCTCTGAGCTGCTGCATGTTCATCTCTGTAATTTTTGTCCTTAAATTATCTCCTGTCTGTTTAGGAGACAATGTGATCTCCCTGGATGAATGTTTTCAGAGTCAGTCTACAAAGGATATTTCATAAAGTTAATTATACTATATGGAAGCTAATGAGAGTGTGTGTATTTTTGGTGCTGCCCAGCTGGGAAGCTGACAGGGCATTCCTCACTTCACCTCATTTGGCTTTTAACAACACAAAAACCTTTTCATCTTAGTCAGTGACTCACTCTAAGGCCATACCAAATCATTTTGTGGAACCCAAGTGAGTTATACTGAGGGAAGCCCAGAGGAAGCTCTTTTCAGCTGTGCGCAAAGGCAGGACCCATGTTTTCCTGTTGCAAGAAGTCAAGCAAGCTTTTGGAGGATGGGATTTAACAGTGCTGCTGCTGTCTGTGGGTAAGGGGAGGCGAGGAGAGGCAGGTGAAATGGAGAGCTCATCAGGGACTGACTGGCAAATCTCATCAGAGGTTCCTGCTGCGGTTCCCCCTCCACTGCTCAGAACTAGGGGCTGCTTGTGATGGGAGTGAATCTGCTCCTCTGCGTATCTCACGAACTATGACACTAGAGATTCCCTTTGTAACCCAGACTTGCACTCCCTGTGCCAGCTTGCAGCTCTGCAGCGCACTCACGATTACGGTAGCCGCTCCGGCCTTTTATGCTGGATTTGAGGCCAAACAAAATATATCTATGGCTGAGGATGGTGTAAGGATGTTTGTCAAGAAAGATGTTGTATTTCTGAGAAGGTACAAGATAGCATGTCAGTGAGACAGATATTTACAGAGGATGCAGCTAAATAAGGGTGACTTGGAGTCCATTCTCTGAAGCACTTGTAGTTCCCACTTTAAAGTCAGTGAAGCAGATCAAAATAATGAACCAAGAATGTTTGTCTGCATCCAAAGCATTCTAATAGAAACAATACGTCTTTCCCGCTCCCCCTCCCTCCCCCCCCCAAATTGCATCACCCTATGGTTTAAACAAAACAGAGAGCGCAATTTTAGAAGTTAAAAAGAAATGTGGTCTGGAAAGTAGAGGGTATTCTGGTCTGACGCATTTAATCAGAATGATTGGTTTTATTAGCTTAATTCTAGCAAATGGTAATCAATTTTCTTTATGCAAGACAGCATTAGCATTCATTTTGCTTAATAGGGAATAGCTAGTCACTGGTAAGTGGTGCTTAATCAGGTATTAAATGTAAGTGAAAACGAAACCTCTGGACTTTTCGTGAGGAAGCTGCCAAATCAGGGTTAATTAGGAGAAGACTCAAATGTAATGAACACTTCAGTTCTTTTTTTTTTTTTTTTCCTCCCTATGGTATTCTTACATTTTAATTGTTTGCAGAAGGTTCAGAAAGGCCTCTGAAAAGGGACACTCTCCTTGAGCACTGCATGAACAGACATGCACATACCAGGAGGTCCATGTGTTTATATCTTGCCCTTACAAACACTCACTTCACTCACAAACATCTGATCTCCTGTGGAGATCAGGAGGGTTTGTGAGCTTATAAGGAAGACTGTGTAAAGAGTTGAACGTTTTGCTCCCCAGAAAGTCCTGATTCAGACCTTCATGCTTTCTAGATTTTAAAATAATAAATAAAAAGATTTGGGGAAGCTGTTTCAGATGCAGGGAGGCGGCAGCATCGCACAAAACCACAACAGATACTGTGAATCGTAAAGGTGGTTAGAATTTGGCAGAGGGAAGCGGGGGACAGAGTCTCTGAAAGAGACCAGGGCACACCTAAGTGGATCTTTAAATACAGGGGGCTGCCACCTCTTTCTCTTGCCCCGCTGCAGAATTTTACAGAGTGCATGGATTTGAGTTACAGCTCTTTCAACTCACCTTGACATAAATGTACTATAGGAAAGACAGTGGAGAACAAAACCCCAGGTAAATGGAGCAGCATCTCTTTCTCCTACCTCACCTCTCTAAGCATACTCTCATGGTTAGAGACAGCCTGCTGGGCTATAGATCAACTTCATGTGACCTGGGATAGCAGATCTTATATTTAGCAATTTAAATTGTACCCTGAAGTGAGTAGGAGCTGATAAATTATGCTTATAGATCACTTACAATTATACAGGGGTCTAATAATTGAAATTGAATATTTTCTTTCTGTACACCTTAAATGTAGCATTCCTGTTGCACATCTTGCAATTCACATTTTAACTGGTACTTTGCAAGGTGATCTCTGGCTTGTGGTTATGGCAATTCAACTGTGAGGGCTGACACGGACTATGGATTTTTTTTTAAAGAGGCTGCATAACCTGTTTGAAATCTGGCTTTCTTCTCCAAGGCTTGTGGGAGAGTTACCAGACTTCAGAAGGGGCTTGCAGGTGCTCAGTTAGCACTTGACCAAAGGGTGGATGTCCTAGGCTTGATTCAGTGCTCCCAGGACATATTTCCTATGGCAAAATCACTCCCTGGACCTGAAGTTTACTTATATTACATTTTTTTCCCCTGTTGTACTCTACAGCAGCTGAACAGCAAGTCAGACTATTGCATAATGTTGTAACAGCTCTGTTAATTTACTTTTTCTTCCAAGACATTTAAGCCGAGCTGTCAGAATTTTCCATAAGGCAATTAGTTAGCTGGTATCGCTGTTTCTCCCCGAGGATCTCTATCTATCACAATGATTCTGTTAAGAATAGAAAAAGAAATTATTTTGCGTTCCTTGCAATTATCAGCCAACAACTTGATTTGATATCTACCAGATGTTCTCTCTTGTCTCTTGCTGCATGTGTCTCAGCCCTGGACCCCTGCTCTGCCTACATCAGCCTGAATGAGCCCTGGAGGAACACAGATCATCAGATAAATGGTTCCCACGGCCAGCCGACATGCGACAGTCAAATCGACGGGGAGTGGTATCGCTTCACTGGCATGGCTGGCGATGCTATGCCTACCTTCTGCATCCCGGAGAACCACTGTGGCACCCATGCTCCCATTTGGCTGAATGGCAGCCACCCGCGAGAGTCGGATGGCATCGTCCCACGCCAAGCCTGTGCCAGCTTCAATGGGAACTGCTGCCTTTGGAATACCACAATTGACGTCAAGGCGTGTCCGGGCGGGTACTACGTGTATCACTTAACCAAGCCTAGCGTTTGTTTCCATGCATACTGTGGGCGTAAGTAACTGCTGAAATTGCTTTTCTGAAACCCATTCATCCCCGGATGCAGGAGAGGTAGTGAGCATCTGTATACCTGAGAGAGGTGGTGACTGGTTTCTGGCTTTCTTACCCAGAAGCATGTCAGGTGATGCAGTGCAGATGGTGGCCTGTCTATAAAAGATCACTTAGACTGTTTCATCTCCGTGAATTCTAGCCTTTGTTCAGCTAGCGGAAATCTTCCGTAGCTGACCTGGCCGCAGTGATTTAATGCTCTCTGTGGGCCCGGTGGTTTGTCTTGGCATGCTACCAAAGCCAAAATTTGCATCTCTGACTTACAGTAATTAAACTAGATTGTTTCTCATCAGCTTCAGTAGTTCAGCTTTCCTAATGTGGGCTAGGTCTGTAACTGATGGACTAAACATAGGGTGTGAAGCTGATGGTACAAATACAGTATTTTCGTTGTATGCTCAGTGGTTTGTGCTGACAACATTCCTGCCATGCCCTAGATTTTTATGACATCTGTGATGTGGTGGATTGCCAGGGCGCCTGCCTGGACACCAGTGACTGCACGTGTTCCCTGGGGACAACACTAGGACCTGATGGACAGACATGTCTTGGTAAGGGTGAAAATAACTTGTGTCAGTTACTGATGCTTTCTTTCCCCTCTGTTTCATTGCTCGCATCTCAATCCATCGTCTTACAAAGCAGTATAAGAAAGGAAAAGTATTCTGAGAGGAGTTTTTCCCCCTTGCTGCCTAGAATAGAGGGGAACATGTAAATGGTTCCAGATCTCTCCCCACAGGGTGAGATATGACATCCCATGATTGAATACATTCTGGTGCTGCTAGAGCTACACATGTACAGAGGCTAGATTTGCTTTCTGCATGGTCCAGCTGTTGAAGGCAGCAGCTTTGCTGTTGGTAGCAGAATCTCTTTGCAAGATCACGGTACAGCTTCATTGGTATTCAGGAACGGCTGTGCAGTCTGTGATTAGAGATTTCCTCTCACCCGCTCTCTTGAATGCCTCTTTTCTCCAAGAAAAGTTTTGCTGGCTGGCGTAGGGCTATCCACTAAGCTTCACCATACTTATTGCCCTTGTGGGGCATTGTTCAGGACCTGGGGTTTCAGGAGAGCCAAAGGATTGCAGGTCACAGCACAGCCTCAGTGGTTCTAGGCAGTGTGACAAGGTGGTATTCAGGGGGCTGGCACTTGGTGACTGCACTGGCAGAGACTAACATGACCAGGAGGGAGGTGGGGGGCTGTAAGTGAGAACAGAGTGGGGAACATGGGCTTCGGGGATTTGTGAGGGAATCCCTATGAACCCCTGAGGGGAGGATGGCTATGGTTGTGTGTGGTGCTAGGGGGAGAGCACCTGGGCTGCGAGGTCTTAGGGAGAAGACAGTCTGTGGGGCAATGCAAGGGGCTGGGAAGGGGTGGCTGTTAGGGTGCTGCAGAGCCACACTGATGGATGGGAAGAGGTGGTGTGGAGGGAGGAAGGGGTGCTAGTGTTCAGGGGAAGTGCCATCTCATCTTTGTCTTTGAGGCTTGATTTGGTGGAGAAGTTGAGAGCAGAGTTGGTCCAGCATGCTGCGTGGCAGATGAGTTTCTTCCATACGGACCATAGCTGACAAAGCAGGCATGGGTGGTTTCTTTCTTCACACTCCTCATGTCTGTGGGCATCAGGGTAGGGGCCGCAGTCATTACAACCTGTGGAGAGAGCAGCCTGGCCCTGCTGCAGATTTACACTTGCTCACACCGGTTCTACAGAACGGTTTTGCTAAAGCGGCTCCACATCTCCGTGGGTGAGAGTGGCTGACTTAGCTCTCTCAGCTAATTAAAAGTATCTATTGGCTGCTTCTTTGCAAGACTTCCAGGCACAAAAGTGCCCTTGACAAGCACCAGCACTCAATAAATATGTGGCAGGCTCGCAGGAAAGGATTTCCTGCAGCAGGGAGGCATGCAGGAGTCCTGAGCCTGTCTGCATGTGCTGGAGCTGCCTTCATCCCCTCACAGCCAGGCCGGGCAGGAATTGTGCACTGCTGCTTCTCTTCATGATAACCAGATGGCACACCACCTCAGCTGTAATAATCACACTGGTTTACCTACCTGTAGCCTCTCTTGTTGTATGGATCACTCATCTTTCTAATGACTTTCTGTTGTGCTGAGTAATTGCTCAATCACATATCTGAGAGCAACCTTGCCGGCCTTCCAGAGAAACCAAACAAATCTGTGTTAGCCTTTCCTATATGGAGAATATTCTTCCTTTCCCAGCTCACCTTGAGAGGGGGGCTGAAGATGCTGCAGCAATGCTAAGCAGCTCTGCCTGTGAACCTCCCTGTGCTAGGCTGACTTCTCTTCAGTACATTATATGCTTTGAATCCCGGATCAGAACTGCTGATCCTAAGTTATATTTTCATTTGCAAACTTACTTAGGGGTTAGATTAGGTCTTTGACTTTCCATCATGGATCCACCAACTCAGTGCATTGCCTTTGACCTCTTGAATACCTGGATCCATGTTGGACTAAGCTACGGTTAAAATCAGTTCAGCACTCTCCCGACCCAGTCTCAAGAAAACCAGCCTGTGTCCCAGAGGTGCTGGTTGTCACTGGTGCAGAAGAGCAGGGACAGGTCTGCTGTGTGAACTTGGAGGACCGGCAAGGTGAATTGCTGGGTACAGCCCTTGACCAAGCCAAGCTCTAGGACCTTCTAACAGCATCTCTATGCCTTTGCCAGTAGCCCTTTCCCTCTTCACCCTCTGTTTTTAAGCAGCTGTAGTTTTAATTGTTAGATGGGGAAGTGTGGAGCTTGTCACATGTGTGAAAAGGTAAGTGTCTGTGTCTGTCTCCTGGATGTGCTTCCTGCCTCCTAAAGCAGGGTACCAGCCATTTCTTTGGCTAAAAATACTCAATTCACGTCGCTTGTGGAAGGAGGCAACACCACCAGCTGCAAGCTGCGGGTACTGTGTATGTGTGGGACCACTTACACCTAAGAGAGCTCATCTCTGACCTGTCTCTTAAAATGGTATTTTCCTTTTTCCTTGGTTTTAAGCTTCTGACATGTAGTAAATGGTAACTATTTTAGTGAAACCCCATATGAACCTTGATTGATAACCTCAGCATTCTGGCCTGCCTAAGAGAAATTGTTAGTTTTGTGGCTCAGCAATAGCAATGACTGTCCCTTCCTCTCTATTTGATTCACTTTTTGCACGCAGAGATTAAATCAGGTTGAAGAATGAGAATCTCAGAGAACAAAGTAGCTTTCAAAAAAAAAGACAGACATAGAGGAACTTTAGCCTTTAAAACAGAGCAAATTAGGAGGAATCTTCAGAGCTTTACCAAGAGATTCAAAAGCATATGCTGTGCTTTTTCCCCAATAAAGGCCCTCAGCACCCTGGAGGGCTCTAATCTAGAGCTGAATGCAGCCAGCACAGAAACGTGACACAGGTGCTATTCATGGGTAAATTGCTTTAGGTTAGAAAAACTCAGTCCAGGCCTATTACAAGGTTATTCTGCAACCTTTATCCAGAGTCTGCTCCAGAAAGTGTGGGATGCCAGCTCAGGCACTCCTCTTTCTTCTGAGCTGGAAAGGTAGGAGCCACAGCTCCTACCTCTGTGGAGGGCAGCAGAGGAGCAGAGCAGAGCAGGGGGGGCTGTCATGGGGCAGTGAGGAGCTGAGTCCTCAGAGGGAGTAGCTCAGAACTGAGCTCTTCGTCTCATCTTTGGTACAGAGTGTCTGAGCAGCTAATGGTTGTGGTGGCCTCTGCGGCACCAGTGCCCAGGTTAGATTTCACCATGGTGAGCTGACATTTCTGTTCTGCAAGAACACCTGAGCTTTCCAGGACAGGGAGCAGTCAGAGCTGGGGCAAGAAGCTGAAACGATGAAATTTCTTATGTCATGACTTTTCTTGGGGAAGCTTCATGGGGTTCATTGAAATATTTCGGTTTGATTTCAGCTTTGTTTATACGTTTACAGCTGTTTTTCATTCTTGTGTCTTTATTTTGAAATAAGGGTTGAATCATTTAAAATCGCTGTAGGGTAGTTGGCCACATGTAGCAGTAGCAGGTGTGATACAAAAATAGATAGGGTTTATTTTTTACTGATTCTGGTATTCATCTAGTTTTACCATGCAGTGAAGTCATGTTAACTTCATTTTAATGTCTTTGTGAGCGGAGAATAGTTTAGGATGAGAAGATAAATGAAAACATGAACTCCCTCAGTGTGTGGAACTGGTTTGGAAGTTTCCTAGTGGGACTGTGTCCATTTTCACTCTGAAATGGCTGCTGTGTGCATGCTGTCTTTCCCCCCAGGTCTGCTTTGCTCCTGAGTTAGACACAGCATGGCAAAACACTCTGCTACTGTCAGTAGATAGCGGTCTTTAGCATTTAGTGGGGTCACTCATCTCTGTTGCTCTGATCCAGGTCATGAGGCCAGGAAAGCCAGTCCATGGTCTCACCAGTGCTCCCATGTAGCAGCCGCTTTTTGCCAGCCATGTGTTTACTAGGGGGCATGTTCTGACAGTGTGTTTTTTGCAGATGAAAATGAATGTGAGCAGAACAACGGAGGCTGCAGTGAATTTTGTGTTAACCTGAAGAACTCCTACCGCTGTGAGTGCGGGATCGGGCGCACACTGGGAAGTGACGGGAAAACCTGTGAAGGTGAGGTTTCTGCTATCACAGTCTGCTGGAAATGATATAAATCATTCCCCTTCCCTTGCAGCACTAGTTCTCTCTTGGCTCCTTGCAGCTGGGATTAAATGTCACTCATATCACTTCTGTGCTTGCCAGTGGTGGTGTTACTGAAATACCCTTCTAATCAAGCAGAGAAGAGTCTCCTTGGTGTTCTCCCAGCCTTGTTCATTTCTGTTAGGATTTGCTTGTATTTATCTCCATGGAGAGAGAGGCAGCAATGGATCTGGAAGATTGGTTGTCCAGACAGAAATAGTTATTGCTGGAGTTGCTGGGATTTGGCTCTGGAGATTTGTATGACAGTTGTGTGGGGGCAGATTTAGCACTGCTGGTTTTTGACAGCTAGCATTAGGTATGGGGTAATGTCATGACATTAGACTAGAGTATGAGGATCGCTTAGCCTCCCAGGATAGAGGTTGAGGAGGAGGGGATGCCTGTCTGTAAACAGAAGCTAGATTTGAGATTAGGGCTACATTTTGACTGCTTTTTGTAAGTAGTTAGTTGTGGGCTCTGCTGTGTGCAGCTGCTACAGTTACTTCCCAGTGGTGGCACAGCCAGGTTGAAAGCCCTTGATGAGTTTAGACTGGTAGCTTAGCAGGGCCTTAAAGACTAAATTGTAAGTTTGATCTGTTGTCACTAATAATGTACAAACATCTTTGAGCAGAAATATGAAAATCCAGCAAAAATTGACTTGTTCCTGATGTTTTCTGTGGTCAGCTGTGAAGAGCACTGTGGCCCCTCACAGGCAAAGCTGCTGTGTTGTATGTTCGCAGATACTGTGGGGCTTCAGACAAGAATAATAGCTACAGATGTGCCTCACTTTTGAGCTACCTGATTGCCAGAACTGAATATATCTGCAGCCTGCATGCAACCTTTCATTAGCTGCTGTGTGGTAGACATCCGTGGTGCGGGGAGAGAGAGAGAGAGGGATTGCCGTTGTATTTTTGGGCTGGACTCCACCCTTCTTTATGGTTCACTGACAGATGGCTCCAAGCTGCAGTTTTTGTCCCTGTTTTCCCCCTCTGTGATACCAAAGCACGTTTCATCTCACTCCTGTGAAAATCTCTCTCAGCTCTGTTAATAAAACATCAGTCATCCAGACAATGACACTTCCCTGGGGAAAGCTGCTGTGCAGAGTGCTCCTTAAGTACTTGTTGTGTGGGGCCGAAAGTGATCTGTGGGCTTTGTCCCTTCCACAACCAGCACTGAGCTGGTGGGTTGTCACGTAAACCAGCTGTGCTACACAGCAGTTTTTATTCCTGAGCACTGCACTCTTCTGGCAGGGCTGGAATAGTCTGTGCTTGGAAACTCGTTTGTTTCTGCTGTTGCCGAAGTTGGATTTTAGGGCCTTTGATATATCATTTAATTTCCCCTTCTGTAAGAAGGATGTGCTTTTCATGAGTTTAACAGTGCTGCTGGGGATTTTTACAATCTTGTTAGTGAGTTTTATTTCTAAAGATGTGCCCTCAGCTTTGTGAGCCATTAGAGTATGTGATTTACTTGTGAGCTACCTCACAGCTGTTGCTAAAAAGAACAAATGCAAGAGATTTAGCTTGATTACATGAGCTGGTGAGGCTGAGTAGGGTTAAGAGTATCTCAGAATTTCCCTTATAATGCTTTACCCATTACTTTGACACGTGTTCAGGCTGTTGTTTTCCATGCAATGTGTAGGGTTGAATATGGGATCTCTATTCTTTTATTTACGTTTCAGTGAAAACAGCACAGTCATTTCTGATGGCCGGCTTAGGGAGAAATATTTTGTATTTATTATTTGTTTATATTACATGTACTATTGTTTTACTGAGAACATCTAGCAGTATTCATCCCAAAGGGTTAAAAAAATTAAGCAGTGAAGATTTTTTTTTTTTTTTAAATCATGATACTCTGTTATTTTCTTTATAATAGAAAACCAACAACAACCAGAAATGGCCTTACTTGCCTTACATTCTGAAGATTTGAAAATCTATTTCGATGACCTGTCAGGCTCTTTTCTGCAGCTGTGGTGGCTAGGAATAAGTTTTACACAAAAACACAGATCCTCAGAGAATTGCCTCACCTGAACAGAAAATATGTAAGAAAAGACATGACATCCCTCAGTTACCTGTGCTGCCCTCTCTCCTCTGCACTTTAGAATGGGGGAAAGTTAGGAGGGGAATCAACCTTACACTGTGAACTTGTGTTGCTCTGTCCCTGTGATAATGCACCTCAGGGCAGCCAACCTCTAAGCCTAAAACTGACAAACTAACAAAATTCCTGCTAAACAAACTCCTACAAGCAGAGTTTCATCCTCAGCCTACAAAGGGGATGCAGGAATCCAGTATGCCCCCTCCATCACAGCTGGGAAACCCACAGGCAAAGAGCGAATCATCTTCTCTGTGGTGTTCCCTGATGGGAACAGGAGCTGGCTACTTGTGAGTCTGTCCTCCCCAAGACATCTCCCCTGCAAATCTCAGGGCTTTAATTCTGGTTATGACTAAGGGAGTGAGTATGGTTCCACATGGTAGAAGTTTTAAGAGGATTTTCCTTCCACCTTTTTGAAGTAAGAAACAACATAAAAATTTAGTTTAAGGGGACGTCTCAGAAGTTACAGAGGGCCAAGCTGAAGATTGCCTATTCAGCCTTCTTATGTATGCCAGTTATAGCATGTGATTTAATTTGGTAAGCTTTTTCACAGAATTTCTTGTTAACTTCATGGTGAAATGACAAACACAGGAAATTGTACAATTAAAAATAGGTTTCCACTGCATTTTCTTAGAAGCAAGCTCTCACCGTGCTGTTGCCTTTGAGCTCTGCGTTGGTCATACTGTTTGTGAGTCAGCCAGGAGTTTATGTTGGGGCCTGCGTAGCTGCCACACAGCTGCCTGAGGAGCAAGGTGCGCTGATTTTCCTTTCCTTTCCAGAAATTGAAGGCTGTCACAATAACAATGGAGGCTGCAGCCATACCTGTATTGAAGTGGAAGACACATACCAATGTGAATGTCCGAGAGGACTTGTTCTGTCAGAAGACAACCACACTTGCCAAGGTAGGTCAACAAAATCTCCCTCACAGCCTCTGTCCCCTGGAAGTCAGAAGTATGTCTGAAGGAACTGTTCTTCTTGTTTTTGTTGTGTTCCCTTAGTCTGTCCTTTCCAGTTTGGTTAATGGAGCTTTGTCATTAATGACAGATCATCCAAAACTGAGAGCCTGGAGACATTGCTCTTTTAACCAGGCAGGAGAACAGAGACACAGGACCCAGCTGGGTGCATCTTGTATCACAGGCAGTTTTGGCAGTGTTCACTTACAATTAAGATTGCTTAACATCTCCCATTATATTGCTCTGCTTTAGCTGTGTAGGCCTTTGACAGATCTATGCTATTAGAACTGAAATTTTCCATGCTTCAAACGGCTTTTAAAATTTCAGCTAAAGTGGTTCAGTCCCTTCCAAGAATGGGGTTAAAGAGAAAGGGCTTTTTTTGCCCAAATATCTCGGTAGCCATTCCGGTAAGCATTCCTATGTCTTGAAGCAGGGCACTAGTTCTGATACTAGGTGTTTCTGCTGTCCCTTTGAAAAGTGCCCAAGATAGCATCTGAAAATTGACTGTTGCTTCTGCTGCATAGAAGCAAGGGCAATGCTATCCTTGGAAGACCTTCCATCTGAACTTTACTCCATTCCTGTATGCAGGGAGTTCTTCTTGCCAACTCACTCGCACATGGAGCATGCACATGGCATAAACATGTTCCCTGTTTTGGGTTGCAAGAGCTGAGCGAGATTTCCTTTGCAAATACATCCAGACTCCCAGGGGTCAGTTTAGCTCTGTAGCAGTGAGTGCAGGGAGCAGAGGATCAGGGAGAAGTTCCCGAGGGCATTGAGAGTTAAGCAGAGGGCCTGTAGCTCCTCATGAAATGGCTTCTTACAAGCCAGGTCTTGGACCCAAGATTCTTCTGGGTCTCATAATCCCACAGCTAGCTGAGCCCCTGAGGTGCTGAAAGCATTGTGCAGCCTGTGTCTTACAGAGAAGATGTCTACTATGATCTGCTGCTGAAGGGACATTCAGTCTAAACTGTGTGCTGAGGAGAGCTATGTGGGCTTGTGAAAGGCAGAGGTAATGCTCTCTGGTGGGCCTCATCTGACTTGCCTGGCCACTTTTTAGACCTGCCAGGCTCAGCACAAAGCTGGAAAAGGCATGGTACTGCCCTGGTAGAGACAGATCTCATAGCTCTCTGCTTGTGTTCTGCCTTGGTGGCCCCATGAAGAACCTGTGTGGTTGCTTTCAGACATTTCCATGAGAATTTGCTATTGGGCTGGACTCAGGCCATAGTTAGGGCAGGATCTAAAATGCAATAAGAGAGAGTCTGTCATGGGCTAATTCACTTGCACTTCAGATAATACCAATGAGCTGGTGTTACCTGGTGTGCTCAGAATCTCCTGTAGTCTGATGTGTTACAAAGTGCCCAGACATCAGTTAGAGGAATGGATCCAGACTTCATGGTGGCTGGCAGGGCAGGTATGCCTCAGAGAGGAAGTTGGAATGGTTCCACTTGATTAAATTTCTGCTTTTTAAGCTTTTTAGAAATGCAGGGCACTGTTTTCAGGGGTGAGCACTGCACACTTGGGATTCAATAGTGCTTACTGCTCCAGCAGAGCTGGGTGGGGAGGAGGAGAAGGGGATTTCCAAGAGCTGTGATTATACTTACTGATTGAAGGTCTGATTGATGGATACAGGCCAAAAAAGAGCAAAGTTCTTCAATCCTGGCTCCCTGAGGCAACCCCAGCAGGGTTAGAAGGCCATGCATTTCCCAGCCAGTGTTTCTTCTTCTGAGGCTGCTAATGAGAGCAGCAGCACTGCTGGGTGCCAAGCTGGGGCTCGGGATATGGCATCTCATAAAGCAAGATTGCTTGTTCTTTTGCATTTCATGAATTTATGTCCCCACGCAGTGGTCTGCAATTTTGAGCAGATATGACAGAATATATCTGGAACTGTACCTCACCATTTTTTATGGCATCTAATCAGGTTTATAGTGGTACAATTAACAGTGCACGGCAGGCACAGTTGCCTGAAGCAATTGGATCTGCAGCCTATCAACCCTCCCCTGCACTGCCTTTACATTCAGAACAAACATTAATAATCTTCCACAGAAATCACAGCCTTGGCTGCAATTCTCCCACAAAGATACCAGCTAACGAAATGCTTGGAATTTTGCAGGCCATCCTAGTACCCCATCTCTTTCTGAAGTGTGATGGTGAAATGCTTTTCTCCCCTCTCCCATGCTCAAGCCTTGTGTGCAGCTAAACAGGGTACAATGGTGTAGTTTATTTGTGTTTGTAGCAGTGGTTCAGGGCTCCCCAGCATCAGAAAGCCTGTTCTACTGAACAGTCTGTGCAAAAAGATAACCCCTGCTCCAAGCAGGTGTACTTTGAAAGGCCAAGGAAGGAGCCACAGGCTGGACAAGGAACGTGGTGCCAACAATAGCAGACAGCAAAATGAGAGTTGGACTTGCCACAGAAGCTTCCTACCAGGGTCAGGGTACTTGCAGGCATTGGTGCATAGCAGAGTTTAAAGTGGTAATGAGGAGGGGCTTTCCCAGTACTTACAGGTGCTCTGTGGTGTGTGAAGGTGAAGAACTGAAATGTCTGACTGGCAAAGCTGGGGTGAGGCTCTCAGGAGCCTCGCAGGCTGGGGTGAGCCCAGGGCAGGGATACAAGAGATGGATGCTAACAGCAAGTCAGGAGAGTGCAGCTCTCTGAACGGATGCAAGAAGTTGTGAATAAAAAAGGATTCCTTGGCACACAGGATAACTCATTTCTGCTGTGCATCTCAGTCCCGGCAGTCGGGACCTCATCACTTGCCCTGGAATAACATGTCGGCATATAGTCATGGCTACCTTGCCAGCTCCTTTTCAGCTCCCCCTACAATGCTGTTGCTGGCAGTCTGTCTTGGGGGTATCAGGCCTATTCAGAGCTGAATCACGCTGATGCAACGCAGTCTCTCTGCTTGCAGCACCACTGTTAAATTGGTAGAACTGAAACACTGTTCTCAGTCAGTATTGATTACTCTTCTGTGTACAAATGTCTAGGGTGATCTGAACTACATTACCAGTTACTCTGAGATGGTTAGTATAAGGAGTTTCCCAGAGTGTTTTCCCAAACAGTGATGAGTTGGCTTGAATCAAAAGTGGGTCTGCTCGCAGGTCTCATTTGCTTGTTTCTGTGCCCAGGTGGTGGAGTGCACACAGACAACTCCTGCAGTGCCAGAGCAGAGGTTAAATAGGTGTCTCCTCTTTCTTCCCCTTTGTGACAATCAAAGACATTTAGAAACAGAGATAGCCTCAACCAAATTGGTCCTGAACTTTGGAGAATTGCAGTTGTGATCCAAACTCTCTGCCCTGAATTACACCTTTATAAAAGCATTACATTTTCTAATTCATCAAGGAGTCACTAGAACAGTGAAGCTTTAAATCCAAATTGAGCCAATCAGTTCTCCAAAGGGTATTCATCTCTGCATTGCACTGTGTTCTCAAAGTCCCTTCGTCCCCTTGTAAGCTTTGCCATTTGACATGCTCGGTTACTCCCGCTTACCTTCTACTGCGGATGGAGGAAAAGTTAAGGTAATTCTTAGTCCTTTAATTTTCTGTTCTAACCCAGCAATGTCATTATGAGACCACATTGCTTTGGGCACGCTGCATACATTTTAGCATATTACCTTGAAAATATTAACTTTTAATAAAAAAATACTCCCTGCAGGTACACAGTAGCTGTTACAAATAACCTTAGCTGGGACATGAGAATTTTTTTAAGGGACGTAAAAGACATGTTTTAGCAGTGTGCCTCGTATCCTGGATCTAGAATCCTGGATTATATAATTAACTTGATCAAAACTAAGGGAAGGCAGATCATATGAATGTCAAGGATTGGGACTGTAATTAATTTTAGGAAAAAGCTTGGGGAACTAGTATATTTGCAAAAAGTTTTGTCATGTGATTTTAAAATATGATAAATGGAAATTCTGGAGGGGGTTTGTTTTTCTGGCTGAGAAGAGACCAGAATATATACACCAGTATGCTTGTCCTGTATCTAACTGAATAGATACATATACACCCAGGGAATATATATAGCAATTACTTTTTCATTGAAGATTATTCCCTCTTTTTTCCTTTTTCATTTTGTCCAATCTCTGTTTTCTCCACTTCTTATGTAATGAAATTTTAATTAAAAAAAGTTCACATGGAGATCTCTATTAAAATTCAAAGGCTGGAAGGAGGTGGAATGAGTGAGCTAATTGGGTTGGTTTGTCGGAGCTGCGTTTATTGCTTATAAAAATATTATTACGGCATTTTGAGGTTCTTCCATTTTAGCTTGACATCTATATGGAATTACTCTGCCTTGTTTTGACATGTTCTGGGTTTGATGTAAAACCTGATAAAGGGTCTTAAAAAATGACTTTGCCTGGGGCATTGTGAATTTGATATCCATATCTGGGAAAGGCTCTTCCCAGGACATATCAGTGCAAGAGATATCTATCAAACCTGTGCTGAGTATTAAGTATAGCTGGAAATACTGCATAGCTAAGTTTCTGCTGCAAGTACAGCGGTCATCTTCATCGTCTTTTGTGGTGTTGCTGCGCCAGGAGAATTTGGGGCAGTGGTAGCGCAGGAGGTTTGTGTTGTGTAGATGGGAATGTAAGATAGGTAGTTAGATTACTATGGTTAGAAGGTATCATAAATGTAGCATATGATTGCCCTTTCTTTCCCCCAGTAGTAATTGGTATAGCCCTTCCCTACCTCCCTGACACTGATACTCCCTGATAGTTTTGTAGTGCAGACTGTTTTTCTGGGGACTTTTTTTGTAGTTCCAGTGCTGTGCAAGTCCAGCTCTATTGAGGTGAGCATCCCAAAGGACCTGGTTGGAGGCCTGGACCTTTCCCTCATCAACACTTCCTGCAAAGGAGTATCCAATGGCACTCACGTCAACATCCATTTCTCCTTGAAGTCCTGCGGCACTGTTGTAGATGTATGTATAGCCATTGCTGTCCTGTCTCTTGGGATCTCTCAGATTTGGGGACTTGGCTATGGCTTACTTGGGGAACAAAGTTGATTTAGCTGTACCATCAGAGCAGTTTCCTGTGTTGCCGTGCAGCTGGACTCAGACTAGACCTTGTTCCATCTCCTCTCCAGTGGTGTGCGTCTGTCAGCATGGGTACTGTTTTCTGCTCACCCAGCGCTTCACAGAGGCAGCTTCACCATCATTTGGGTGCAGAAAGTGCAAGTGGTGTCACTCTTCACCCTCCTGTTGAGACAGAATCTAGTCCCCCGATAATGTTTCAAAGGTTATACTGGCAACTGGTCAGGAACCAGAGAGCTCATCTTAGCAGATGGGTAGCAATTGGAAGCAAATTCCTCTGCTTTATGCAGGAGTACAGTGCATCGAAGTTGACAGCAAACTGATAAAGGCCCTTAGGTCATAGGTAAGGATGAACATCATTCTGGGTGCAGCATATAAATTCACAAGCTGTACTTTCAGTGGCTAGTTTATGTCTAAGTTTCCTGAAAAAGGTAAACTCAGCTGCTAGTCAGAACTCAGAGCAGTCTTTCTCAATGATCTCCCCTTTCCCTCAAACTCCTTTCTTTGCTGCAGGTAATAAGTGATAAAATCATTGCCACCAATCTGGTGACTGGCTTGCCAAAGCAGACTCCAGGAAGCAATGGGGACATCATTGTCCGCACCAGCAAGCTGCTGATCCCGGTGACCTGTGAGTTCCCACGCCAGTACACCATCTCCGAAGGTTATGTGCCCAACCTCAAGAACTCACCCTTGGAAATCATGAGCCGCAACCAGGGCATCTTTCCCTTCACCCTTGAGATCTTCAAAGACAAAGACTTTGATGAACCCTACAGGGGTGCTCTTCCCACCCTCAAGCTTCGGGACTCTCTGTACTTTGGGATTGAACCCTTGGTACATGTCAATGGCCTAGAGACACTGGTAGAGAGCTGCTTTGCCACTCCCACCTCAAAAATCGATGAGATCCTGAAGTACTACCTGATTCAAGATGGGTGAGTTCCCTCCGTTGCTGGCTATTAGACAGGAATTGGCAGTGGGGCCAAGTTGCATTGCCTGTGTGACACAGGAAACTATCACTTCCCCACAGCAGCCTGTCTGCTGTGTTCCTAGCAATCACCAGCAGCCAGGCCATCAAGCTGAAACCACCTGTCCTATCAAAAGTGATTGGGAGCAACAATGGGAAGCAGTGAAAGAGGTTACTCCAAGTGCAGCCTTTACAGGACATGTTTCCCTGTAACTAGCTTTGTGCATAATTGAGTTGGCTCCAGTAGAAAAGATGTCCTTCCTGATATTCTCTCTCTGCCAGCCTGCAGAGTGCCAAACCAATCGGCACAACCCCCCCGATGGCTATGTGCCACTGCCATGCAGCCGCTGCAGCAACTGGAGCAAGTTTTTTAATTTTCCCATCATGGCCTTATTACAGCACGAGCCAGATGACTCCATGCTGGTCCTGGTTGGAGCTCCAGGAGCTCCCCTTGCTTTGCTGTCTCTCTGATGCCTGTCAACACAGTAAGTTTAGGGTCCCTCAGTTTGGCTGTAATTTTCTGAGGCATTTGGGTTTAGTGATCTTTCCAGGATATGCTAGTGAAAAACTCAGGGTGGATCTGTGGGTTCACTGTAACAGGTTTTGTGTCAGAGGTTTGGGGAACATTGCTGTGGGTTCTACTGTGGCTCCTAAGATGGACCCCTGTTTTCAGACACTTGTTTGGGTGCTAACATGACAGTGCCATGGTGCAACGTTGCTGTGGAGTGTTTGCATCCAGCAGTGCCTGGCAGCTTAACCAGACAACACTGTGGAAATGTTCCAGTTGGGAGCCAGTCTGCTATCCTCTAGGGAGGAAAGTCCGACCAAAGTAATATCTAAGACGTACCCAAGTGTCATAGCCCAACAGTCAAGGGACTGTGCTCATATAAGTCCTGTGTTCTCTCTGCCAAACCATCTAATGAGGACAACAATTATTTCCTCAGCTGCCAGGCTAAATCATCCACTGTTACAGCTGGTGATGACAAGTCCTATGTGATTGTCTTGTAGCAGAAGGGTCTTGCAGAGTACAGTACACAAAAATCCCGTTTTCATTTCCTTCTGACAAAGGTTTCAGCATTAGCTTGCCTCTCCCTCCATCCTAGGCTGCAGTTCTTCTGTGCCTGGACATTTCTGGGGTTCATAAGCAGATTTGTAATGGAAGGATTGATTTATTGACTCCCTGGCTTGGCTTTTCCTGTGTACCCTTCCCAGAGTCAAGGCTCCAAACATTCATTCATTTCCCACCATGAGTGAAAACGATGGGCTTCAAAACAGTGGCCAAAACCTGAGCTGAACAGAGAAGGCAGAAAATGTCATCTCTTGAATTCACCACAGCACTAGCTGGAGGATTTATGGCACCAGCAGCCCCTTTGGTACTGTTATCCTGCAGAGGGCATTAAAACTTCACTGAAGGGAGAAGTGGGCTGGAGCCGGCTGGCTGGAGCCTCATCCCGCCTGCTCCGCTCTCCAGCTGTCACTGCGGGCCCCAGTGTCCCCAGACATGCCAGCCCCCGTGCACTGTGCTGTATTTAAATTGGACCGCTCACTTAGACCAAAGGCTAATGGTGTGCGATTGAGCTAACTGGAGTTCTTTGTCTCTCTGTGTGCTCACAGCAATTAAAAAGTAAAATCAGCTGAATACACTGCTGATTTGTCTCTGCTCCAAACAGTTCTGTAATAACCCAGTTTCCTTCCATCAACCCAGCCCCAAAAGCCCACGGCAATAAAGACGGGATTTTTAAATCAGTTTGATTATGTAGGATCAGACCTGCAGGAGTTAACTGTAGCTTCCAGAGGGAAACGCTGTTTAAATTTGAGAGGATATACCTTAGACTGATGGATGGGAAAATTCTCTCTCCTGCTTTCTTCCCTGCTAATTCCCTGCCATCTCTACTCAGCAAGAGGTGGGAGCTGCCTTCTGTGGGACACCTCAACCCTCTCCCTGTGCTGATGTGACCTCGCTGGAAATCAGGATTTTCCCAGATCCCTCCCTGCAGTCTCTGTAATACCCCATACTGCTGCTAGCCCAGCCAGCCAGCCCCAAAGCAGCTCTCCCACTTCTGATCTTGTTCTTGCTCTTTCTCAGAACAAAAATAAATAAAAGGCATTGACAAATTGCATAGGTGATAAACATCGCAGCTCTCTGGGGCATCTGGAGCAAGGTCATGTCACTGAGGGCAATCTGTTGTAATCTGATGGGGTCAGGAGCTGTGATTTATCTGAGCATGACGTGGTTAAGGTAGTTCCATTGCAAGGCTCATCTCGTTACACCTCGGGCTGCCTCTCATCTGTAGGCTGAGGTGGTTATTTTATTCTCCAAGCCCTCCTTTCTACCTTGCAACCCCCCAGTAAGAGGGTCAGAGCACAGCTCTCATGGCACAGCCACTCTCTGCTCCCCTAACCTGAGCACATTATGAACAGGAAAGGGTTATTTTCACCATATCCTGACCAGGGTCACTCATTTTCCTTCCACACCTGTGCTCCCTGCCCCTTCTCACCTCTCCAAGGTGGGAAGCAGGGTCTGGGGTTTTCCTAGGAGGGTGGGACGAGGTATGGCTCCACGCACAATGCGAAAGGGCTTGACCCTGTGCCTCAGGAGGTTTCTGAGCTCTTTTTGTCATGCCGCAATGCATTTGTTGGAACCCTCCGTAAGACATACTTAGGGGCGTGGTAGGGGCTCCACGTATCCCTGGTTCCTCCTTGTTGTTCTTCCATTTTCCCTCTCCCTAGCCCCAAACCAGTAGATTTCTTGTCACCAGTGTGGAGAACCTTTGGAGAACCTGGGATTTAGGAGTCAGTTTGAGCCAGTGTCCGAGAAGCATCACAGTTTTTATGCTCACAAATGAGGACATGCCTATGAGTTGACTTTATGGCCTCAAAGCTTGGCCAGTCACTTATGAAAACTCTTTAACTGTCATTCTTTACAATCAGATGCCTTCAGGAATGCTACTTTTAAAAGCAATTTTATCCTAAGTAACTTAGTAACATCTAGTGTTTGGCCTCAAGGGGGAGGAATCTGTGTCAATTTTTCTAGATGCACAGTATTAATTTATTAGCTCCCCTTGGATGACATTTATGTTTGCCTCCCAGGCAAGTTAACTAGACAAGCACTGCAGACAGGGATATCCCTTAAGACCATGACCTCCACTGGCTGAGAAAAGCTACAGAAATACATGGTGGTGAAAATAATGCTGGGATCAGACGAATGCTTTGTGCTCCCATGAGCATACACTGCTCTATTGCACGTAGCAGAAGGGTGATTCTGGGAAGGATTGCAGCAGGCTGCCACCCACGGAGCCGAGTCAGCCGAACAGCATAGAGATTTCCAAATACGTGTTCTAGTGAAAGCAGAGCTACATATAGATGTGGGGTTTGCTGCTGTTTGATAATCGAACATGCCAAACGTCAGCATTTCTGACAATGCCTTACATATTTCTGGTGCAAAGATGGAAGCTAAATGTTGCTGCAAGAGTAGGACTTTCAGCTGTCACACCATTACCTCTTGTCTCTTCCACCACCATTTTTTTTTAATATCTTGCGAAGTCCACATTTCTGGAATTAACTTGCTAGAAAGGACAAACTGCATTATAATGCAATATAAAAGTAGTATGTAGGCCTCTCAAAATGCCTAAAGCTTTGCAATAGGCAGCAGTAAATATCAAGTCACCGTAACTTTTTGTCTTGCTGTTTCTCTGTCAAACTCTAAATAGGCTGTAATAGTTTATAAATAGGCTGCACCTGAAATACAACTTGTTATAAAAGTAGTTTATTTTCTTGCAGTTCTGTGACCTCTTGCATGACTGTGTAGTGCTAGTGATGGAGAAATTGAAATTATGAATTTTAGCTGTAGTGAATTTGAGCTGCCCGATCAAGTTCAGAAGGAAGAAAAATGTAAATGATGTAAAGCAAAGTAGATCTTGATTTTTTCTTAAGTATAATCTGTGATATTTTAGTAACGTGGGTAACAGCTTATTCATTTTAACTGTGATTTATGTGCATATATATGTGTATACAGAAAGTACATAGTACATTATATATGGTATAACAGTTCTGTTGATCACTGCAGACTGTTGCACAGGAAGGTGAAATGAGGACAAACTTGCCTGCAGCTCTCTGGCAGTCCCTCTGCTGATGGGACTGGACCACGTCCTGCCAGCTCTCTGCTGCTGAGCTGTTCGTTGTCTGGAGATGCTATTATCATCGCTGGTGTTTTTCCCTATCATTCCCAAATTTTCTCCTGTGGCCAAAGAGGAAGTAACATGGATGGTAGCTTAGCTTGAGACAGCCAAGCCCTTCTTTCCTTTCTCTGGTTAAATAGGCTGGGATGTTTTTTCTCTTTCTTTTTCCATTTCTGGGAAACCCATTAAAGCCTATCCCTCTGCTTTCCTCAGCTGCGTTTCTGATGATTCGGTGAAACAGTACACGTCAAAGGACCATCTTGCCAAGCATTTCCAGGTTCCTGTGTTCAAGTTCGTGGGCAAAGACAACAAGGTAAGCTCAAAACCCACCTCTTAGACATTGCATCAGCCCTGATCTAACTGGAGAGTCTCAGCACAAAGTTGTCTGTATTAGAGTGCAAAGGAGAGGAATGCCTGGCCCAAGGCAGATGCTGCTGTGCCTGTCCCAGCAGTTGTGTCTTTCAGGAGCCTGACACAGGTACTTTAGGAGACAGTGATGAAAACAACTAAAATTAAATAAAATATGAAGGAAGTTGTGGAACGTCAATGCCATAGCAGGTTAAAATCATTGTTGTTTCCAGGATAGTCTTAGGAGACCCTTGTACGCTGAGCGAGAAAAGCGTTCCCAGTCACCAAACAGAAACCCGGGCAGTTAGGCACATTCCACAGTGTCCTATCTTTAAAACAAGACAGTTTAGTTTTGGATCTCTTCAACCTTATACCTTCTCTAGCTCTTGTGAGTACAGATACCAGGTTTCCAGATACAAGGCCACCATACTGCTTAATTCAATGTGAAACCAGGCCATCCAGGCTGGTGGCACTCTGGGGCAGAAGCTTTGTAGTGGGAGGACAGTTGAATGATAACGCCACTTTCCTAATGCAAATAGCTTTTCTTTTCTGTGCTAGAAGAAATCAGGTCTTTCAGTCACTGTTGTTATGCTCAGCCAATGCTGCTTGCTCCAAAAGGCATAAAGCTGTCTCTCCATCTCCTGGAGAGCCTCAGTAGGGTTAAAATGGATGAGATCTTTCAAAATTCAGAAATTTCGCTTGGCTGTCTGATTGCCACTGCTACCTCCAACCTGCATCCTCCTGGCCTGTACAATGGATTTTGCTTCAAACCTCACCATTGACCAAATATTCACAAATATTTGCTTCCCTAACCACTGCTTGCAGGGATCTTGCTTACTCTCCTTGTCATTTAGAGGGCAAAGAGCATCAATCCTGTCACTGTCTGCCTTTACTGTGCAGAAAGAAAAGGCAGCTGTCTCCCTGCCATTCGTGTTCTCCTTCTCCCCTCAACTACCAGTCTTAGCTCCTCATCAACCTGCCTTTTCCTCCTTTGCCCTTCAGTCTCCTAGCTTTATGTTTTCTCAGCTCGTGTCAAATTCTCTCACACGTTTCTATCAGTCCATTTCCTTGTGAGGCTTCATGTGTTCTTGGCCTGCTTCCTACCATGCAGCTCCTACCAGTCCATGCGAGCTCTTCCAAGCTTAATCCTGGCATTTTCCTCCCTTCCTCTGGAGGATCATTTCACGCCTTCATATTTCCTGTCTAGCCCTTGGCTAACAGACAGACGCCATGCTCTGAGGTCTCAGCCAGGCACTCTGGAAAACGTGCCCTTTCCTGGGCACACAAGAAAAGAGATGGAGCAGCCAATTTGGCTGTGGATGGTGATGGTGGTTACAGGCCTTGTTGATGCGGGGACAGAGATGCCTGTACCACGGGAATCGTGTCGCTCGTGCTCTCTGAGAGCTGGCAGTGCTGCCAGTCTGATTACCAGAGCTGTGCATTGACTTGGCCTGCTGTCTCGTCACCCTCCAGGAGGTGTTCTTGCATTGCCGCATCCTTGTGTGCGGGGCGCTGGACGAGAGCTCTCGCTGCGCCCAGGGCTGCCGGAGACGGGTGCGCAGGTCGGCTGCGACAGAGGAGGAGGAGGAGGAGGAGGAATCTGGTCACGTGGCAAACCACATCCTGACAGGTGGCCCGATCAGAATCGACTTTGACGACTAACAGCCACCCACTGCAACAGCATCTCTGCATGAGACCAACCTTCCTTATCAGTGCCTTCTTTCATGGTTGTTTGAGAAACAAGGGGTCCCTGAACCTCAGGACTTGTTTCCCTAGCCGCGTGATGATTATTTGTGAAATATGTTGGGCACATGAGGCAGCCCTCTGAGTGCAACCCAGACTGCAGAACAGTTTGGTTTTTACCTGCGTTTCTTCCCAACAACCCTTGCTTTGCAGGCCTGAAGTGCTACACGACTTTGTCTTTTCCTACATCCACCTGCAGGCTCCACAGGACTGTTTATCCTTGACTAAACAAATGTTATTCAAGACCCTCTTTCATCAGACAATACAAATAGTATCGTAGCTGAACGTGCTTGCTATGCAGTTCTGTGAATAATGCTGAAGCTTTTGGATGTGCTGAGATTTTGGATGACCGTTAATAAAAAAATGTATAAAAATATATATCTCATAATGTGTAAGCTCCTTGGACCTATAAAACAGTTGTCATTACAGGCAGCTAAAGCTTAGATCGATCACAGGCACATTTAAATGTTATTTTTAAATAGTAAAAGGTATTTAATAAAACTTGATTTTTTTAGTGTCTTTTGATAATTGCATGCAGTTTAACAGTTTTTCCTCTTGTATTTGGTGTATCATTATTGTTCTCCCTCTTCTCCCCCCACCAAAAATGTGGTGCCTTTCTTAAGTGCTCTAGCACCTTGATTGTAAGAAAAAGACCATTAAACATCTATAAACATCCCCCCACCAGCGTGCCACTACCAAGTCTTTGTCTGAAAGTTGAAATGCATTACCCTGGTCTAGAGAGGCTGTGGCTCTGACAAAGGAATTAGAGGAACGCACATTAAGTATTTATAGCAGTCATTTGTAACGTGGGTAGGTTGTCCCCAGTGAGCCTGGTGACAGGAGACATGGCAGCCTTGTTTGAGTGACTGTGTGCATTCGCAGTCTCCTGGTGGGTGAGAGCTGGCTGGAGACGCAATTACTGGTGATGGTGGCAGCATCGTGCTTGTCAGGAATCCCTTTGGGCCGTCAAACTTCTTCCAAAGAAAATATAGTGGATGATCAGCTCGGGCTCCTCTGGGCTTCATTCAGGAGCAGGAGCGCTGTGTGGTGAAGGATGAGAGATGTGGTGTGAAAGGAAGGAAGCACAGCGAGCGGTGAAGGACAAAGTAGGAGAGGCAGGGCTGGAGGGTGAGAGAGGAAGGATCCGTCTCCACCGCTGGCTGTGGCACCGCAGTGTGTTCATGAGGTTTTCTGCAAGAAGTTTCACAGTGTGCAGCTCTGTCCTGTGTGTTTGGAGGTGTGCTGGAAGCCCCCCCTAGTCTGCACTACCCATTTTCTACTTTGGTTGGAAGCAGCCAAATCGCTGCCAAGGCCAAAATTTGTTGCTGCTCTCAAATGGATGGGGAGTCCGCTTGAAGGGACCATTTAGAAAGGAGTCACAAATCACCTCAGCAATATTCCATTTCACAGATTTATTTCTTCTGGTGACTGAGATTCCAGTGAGGAGTGGGCATTTGATGGGCTGGGAGTTTCATGATTTTTCTAAATGGCTTCATGGCTGCTTTTCCAATTTGGGAATACGTGTGTGCACGTGTGTATGTTAGAATAAATGAAAATGTTTCTATGATGATAAGTAGGTATAAGTGGAACGATACTTTTCATATGTTATCTAACCATATGAGAAAGAAAAAGAAATGAAAAAGTCTCCTTCTTGCATTGCCGTGCGTCTCCTGCTTCTGCTGATTCACGTCTGCGTTAGGACCACACAGGCAATTTCCCGCTGTCATTTGTTTGTTCAGGCAGCCCCTGCTAAATATACATGTTTTGATAAAACAAGAGCTGGGAAATGAAATTAATTATCTGGTGCCTTCTGGAGAGGCAACTGGTGGTTTTTGTTCATCTCAAAGGGATGTGGGGGAGTGGTGGGGGAAGAGGTTCATTTTCTAGCTTATTTCAGTTATTGTGCACATTATTTGGTTCTTCCTGACAAATTCATACAAAGCAGCCTTTCCGCTCTGAAGCTTTTTACTTAAATAATCTGTAAGAGTAATGAGGACGAAACACTGGTTTGTGTGGCCGTGTGAATGGGGCAGTCTGGGAAGGTGTTTAGTTTGCTCTGCAAGCACGATAGTAGGTCTACTATCTGCCACTGCCCTGTGGCCATTCCTCCTCTGGTGCAGAGGTCATGCCTCCTAGGCACAAACAAAACCATTTTTCCAAGTCTTTTAGCTCTCCCCAGTTTACCTCTTGCTTCCATCTGTCTTCTTTGTCAGCATTACAGCCTGGACATGAAATCAAAGGCCAAACTCATCTGAGAGCCAAGGGATTTGTGTGTCTGTTCAATTTGGTCTGCCACGCCATGGAGTGGGAGCAAAATGCCCTGCACAAGCAGGCAGTGCGTGTGCGAGAAGGCACCATACCCGACCAGTGCTCCCGAGGGTCCGACCAGCACTGCCAACCGTAGTTCCAAGTCCGAGCTGCATCCGTGCTGCCCGACGGGTGTGGCTGGTGTTCTGGCTGGCGCCACCTCATTCTCTCTTAGGATGTAAAGTGAAAGTCTGAACATGGGATGTCCAGGAGTAAACACCTATTACCTGCCAGCCTAGTCCCTGCTTTTATGTCCTCAGCAGAAACACAGAGATTGCTGTTTGAGGAACCATTACTAGGAGAGGGCACGCTGGCTGAATGGGTTGAACATCAGCAAGAGTTGCAAATAATCCTGCCAATACACAAAGTCAACAGGAAGCCATCGGGTGAGCACAGTGTCTTCTTCCTGTTCAGAGCAGGGTGGAGATGAAGATGACCCAGGGTTTGTGCATTGACCTGGAGAGTCCCGTGATCAGCTGCTTCAGTGGCTGTACACCACTGAGTAGCAGGAGCGGCGCGGAGGGGAAGCAATTTTTAGTTTGGCTGCAGAAGTTTTACTGTAGTTCATGCGCTGTTTTCTCCTACACAGGATTATGTGGTGGTTTTTTTGAGTCACTGCCATCACTTGAAGGTTCAAAAGTTTGCTTGTAGAGCTGCTCATGGGGTTTTTCAGATTACCACAGCTTAACTTTGTAGTGAAAAATGCACTTAGCTGCCCTGCATGCAGCCATCTGTAGTGTTTTGGGATGAATGGTGGAAAGCATGAAGAAATTATGATTTATATTAGTGGTGTCTCCAAAGCATCCGTGTGCGGACAGAGAGATTTTGTTCAGAACCCTTCAATTTCTCCAGTGTATATCATCATCTGTCATCAGTTACTTGGCCTGGCTTTGATCTGATATCACTTGAACTATAAAACACTTTAAGACATTTGCCAGCCAGTCGGCTACTGAGTGTAGACAAGATAGATATTTTTTTTTTTTTTTTTTTTAGTTGTGTCATTTAATCATAAGAGTATGCTCACGTTTAGAACTGGCAACAGGCACCATTTCAGCAACGAAATACAAAGTTTGGAAAGTGTCTGGAACGAGGAACATTTCCTTCCCATCCCTAGCCAAAAATATGTGTTTCTTAGATGGATAATCAGATTGTCCTCATGCTCTGATAGACACACACTGTGATGAACCTTTGCAATGCGGTATTCACTCTCCAGTGGCATTAGCACAGCTAGGAAAGGATGTCATGGCATCTGATCAGTGTAAATTAAGGTTCTCCTTAATGAAAAACATCCCAGTAGCCTTCATGCGGTCACTTCTGTTTTCCTGGTCTTATAATGGTGGGCTCTTGTTTCAGTCTATCTGGGGCCAGATGAATGTCTCATTGCTGTTCACTGTAAAGCAAAGATGACTGGCAAGAACAGGAATACGGGGCTTAAATAATTTATAGCTTTATGCATGCATTTAAACACAATCTAGAAGAAAAGTAACTAAGACTCCTTCCATTCTTGTTAAACCAAATTTCTGTAGCCTTAACTTTTCTGTGGCAGATGGAAGAACATAACCATAAATATGTTTGCAGAAGTCGCTAAAGTATTTATGTGGCATGGCATGCGCACCCAGTAGCAACTTTCTTTCAACAAGAAACACAGATGAAAGCTGTCTGCAGATGTTATATGTAGATGAAATTCCATACACCGCTTTAAATTCTAATTCTGCATGCAATAAGATCTCCCGATAGCAGATGGAAGTATTAACCATGTTTTAGAAAGAATGCCGTCTGAGGCTGCTGATTGCTCCTCAGCTGGCAGTGTCTCTGTCCCACAGAGGTAGCATGTAAGCCCCGCCACCTGACAGATAAGCCTCCAGGATTTTGAATATCTCATCCAAGACAACTGTGAGCCTCCTGTTTCCCTTGTGCAAAAGATGGAGGTGGATACCCAGCCATTTTGAGTAAAAAGGGATCCTAAGGGAAAAGCTTTGTTAAATGATATAGGAGGAAAATAATTAAATAGATCTGGATGACACCGCAAAAGAAAAGCAGCTTCCTCTCCGGGGACTGTGGGAGACTGCTGTGATTTCACATCTCAGACGTGATGGGCTTTGGTCCCCTTCTGCCCAAACATGAATTGTGCCTGCATCACAAACACTTAAAGTCCTTCTCATGCTTACCAAATCCCTGGATGTTTTAAATCGCTTCAGGATCCACCAAGTATTTAAATAAGCAGGGTTGTCAGGTTGTGTAATGATAGGATGGAAAACGTCAGGGATGGGTGTGAGCAACATACTGAAAGCAAATTACCCCTCTTCCGCAGTCTGTCACCAGTGGTGAAAAAATGTAGATAGTGTGTCCATGGACTGGGATTTTCAGGGGTTGCAGAAACCTAATGCCTTGCACTGCAAATTAGGGAGTTAAGGGGCGGGGGAAGCTAATACATGTGTGTCTAAGGCAAACAGACAAGTGAAGCCCCTTGTTTATAACCAGCGCTGCATCCTGCTTGCCTCTCCTGATGAGTCTGTAGAGAAAATTGGCATTGGATCATTCAGGCTGATGGACTTGGAAAGGGGTAGGGCTGTTGAACTGCATCTGTGGTGGACAGCAGGCATCACTGCCCTATATCCACAGGCTGTCTCCCCTTTTGCTGCCCGCTGCCCAAAAGCTGTAGTTGATGTATATTGCTTGGCCCAGGTCCCCCCATCCCATGCTAGGCCAGAGGACTGATAGAAATCACTGTGCTGCAGTGCTGTATCGGAGAGGGGAGACCTGGCAGCAGGCTCGTGGAGGCCGGGAATCTGTCCTTCCTCACAATTCATCTCGTTCTTCCTCATTGCAAATGCAGGCGCTCCTTTGGCTGTTCATGAAGGGCCGGCAGCCCAGGGTCCAGACGGCATTGAATACTGTGTCTGCAACGGATTCACAAGCTGCGGAGAAGGAAAAGATCAGGCAGGTAAGTAACAAATGAAAGCACCCTAGCCTGAGCCCTGCACTGAGTTGTGTGGTATTTGCAGTTGGAAGCGTGGGCTGTCTTTTTCTCTCTGGGTATTGCATTTTTATAAATCCAGAGGTTCCCTTCTGCTGAACTGAGGGCTCTTTTCTCCCTAGGGTGGCACCAATCTGGCACTAACTTCTCTCCCCCCTAATCTCCCTCCTTTCTTGCCTCTCTTGGGCTTTTCTGGTTGATGGATCGTTTGGGGCACTGCAAATAGCACTGTTTACCAAGCAGATTTCCCAGAAGACCTCCACACCACTGTCTTTCCCAGCTCCCTCTCCCCACAGTTGCCTATAGCCACTACTAACCAACCTTTTCTGCTTTTTGGGAGTTACAATGCCAGCTGCCAGCCAGTATGAAAAATCCTACTGTGGTTGCAGCAGCGGAGCTGTTGATATGGTCTGTCTGACTCCTAGCCCCTCCTCTTCCCAAAACACAGGCCCGAAATTGCTTGTCAATAAATAAATAGGTTAATACCAGGTCTTTTAGGGTTTACTCACTGGCACTAACATTGATTGCTCACACGCGTAATAGATTTGGGAAGGCCCTGCCTTTGGGACTGTCTTCTCCCGTCTCAGTCTCCCTGATCACCTTGTTCTGCTCCTGCTGCTTTAGGAGTCTGCTCGGCCGGCAGGCGTTGGAGAGGCTGTAGTGAGCCAGTGGGGAAATTGAGGCTTTGGTTAACTGGCACTGCTGCAGCTGGGATGTTTGTGCCCATGTAAGGGGAGTGCAGCTGCTCTTCCCCTGCCTGCTTTCTCTGAACTCCAGGTGACTCAATGGAAAGGATCCCAGATAAAAGCTGGGATGGCAGTGGAGGAGGAGGACTGTGTGACAGGACGTGCTCAGAGCAGCCCTGAGGACAGGGAGCGGCAGGTATAGAGCACAAGGCAAGAGGAGGCAGAGCAAGGGGAGTAGAGGATGGCTCAGAGGTTTGTTTGTGTTAGCGACACTTGTGCCTCCTGCGGCAACCAAGTCAGAGATGCTGAGGAATCTAGTCCTGCTTGACTACAGGCAGCGGTGGCTTGGCTCGGCCAAGGAGCGTGGGCTCTGCTCCACCTTAACTCCCTAGGATCTGTCTGTTGGCCTCACTGCTGCAGGCAGAAAGGGAAGAAGAGGGATCTGAAAAATTGGCAGGGGAAAATCTGAAGAGATAGGAAGAGGTTGGCTGCATGAGGACCTGTAGATAAAGGTGACCATGAAAGATTGACTGTACTTGGCCTGTAGCACTTATATCTCAGTCCAC